GGGAGGGCATCCAGTAAGTCCTGAGATTTGCCCCGTGTTTATTTCTCACAGGCTTTGTATACCCCAATCCAAAAAGGAGGGGAAGGCTTCTCTACCTGATACAAGGAACAAAGTAATCACCTCCATACCCAAAGCATCAAGTAACCACACCAACCACACCCTAGGTCAAAACATCCTGTTAGCAGGCACACCTTGGGTCAAACCTCCTGTCATAACCTTAAAGGATCAAGAATAGGCCTGGAGGTGGCGCACACCTTTAATTCCAGCACTCGGGAGGCAGAGGCAGGCAGATCTCAGTAAATTCATGAGGCCTGCCTGGTCTACAAGAGCTAGTTCCAGGACAGCTAGGACTGTTACACAGAGAAACCCTGTCTTGAAAAACCAAAAAAAAAAAAAAAAAATAGAGGACTGCTCTCTGACCTTTGGTTAAGGTGAGACGAATCCACATCTGTGGACTCCCACAAATAATCTTAAATTACAAAAAATATTTTTTTTAAATATTTATTTATTATGTATACAATATTCTGTCTGTGTGTATGTCTGCAGGCCAGAAGAGGGCACCAGATCTCATTACAGATGGTTGTGAGCCACCATGTGGTTGCTGGGAATTGAACTCAGGACCTTTGGAAGAGCAGGCAATGCTCTTAGCCACTGAGCCATCTCTCCAGTCCCAATATATTTTTTTTTTTTTGAGACAGAGTTTCTCAGTAGCTATGGAGCCAGTCCTGGAACTTGCTTTGTAGACCAGGCTGGCCTCAAACTCACAGAGATCCACCTGCCCGACAAGATTCTTTTTTTTAAGGGAACACATTCATGTAACTTAGAGTGTATTACTATGATTGCTCTATTTTATTAGTTATTCTTAATCATTAACTCTGCCTGATTTGTAGGTAAACTTTATCATAGTATGGACGTACAGGGGAAAGTACATTGCAAGTGGAGTTTGGAACTATCCGCAGTTCCAGGTACCCATTGTGGGCATTGGAATATATCCCTTGTGGAGAAGTGGGGACCACTGTGTCTTCAGTTCTTGGTAGGATAGGAGCATGGACAAATGGCCTTGAAGCTCCAACTTGCACCATCATTTCCCCCACCACCACTAATGTCACCTTTTAATAGTTCCCATCTTTTAGAAACCCTATCTCAGCACCATGGTAGAGGGCAGTTTTGAGTCTTACACATATGGTCTCATGTTTCCCGGGCTATGCACCCTCTATGCTGCTGAGGATGATCTTGAACTTCTGAGAAACATTGTCTCAAAAAATAAATAAATAGCAAGCTTTCCACCTGTTCATCACACAGTGCAAGCAGCTTTGGCACCTCCAGGTCCCTCCCTCCCTCTTTGCTATCAGCTTCCTCTGCTGCTCAGGCTTCCCCTAATTGGGTCTTTTCTGTCTGCCCCATTCAAACCTTCCAGTACACCGTACACCTTCCTAACTGAGCTTTCACTACTACATCTGTTTACTCTAGTCGCTCACAGCTCTGCCGTGTACCTTTGGAGGGCAGAGGACAACCAGGCAGCTCGTGGGAGTCATTCTCTCCTTCCCCCATGTGGGTCCTGGGGATCAAACTCAGGTCACCAGCCTGGCAGCCAGTGCCTCTGTCCCCTGTGCATCTTTCGGACCCTTCTCCTTAGCTCGTTACTATGCATCCTACTAGTTAACTATCTTAAGTGCTTGTCTCCTCCACGTTAGAATTAAAGTCCAAAGGCAGAACTCTTCCCCACTCCCACTTCCAGCTTGATCCTTTCCATCTTGCATGGTTTCTGGCCCACAAAAGGAATTACAATAAAGGCATAAATGAAGGACATGCATACATCAGGGCTGCCTGGGTTCACTTTCTGTTTTCAGGAATGTGTCCCCCTGCCTTCCCACTGCCCAGGGCCATTGCCACACATGAGCAGGGAACACTCTCATGTGACAGGCACCCTGTCCAGCACAGCTCACAGAGTAGAGGAGTACTAGTAATCTGGGCTGGAGGTGCGACTCGGTGATGGAAGGATCGTTTGGCGGTTGTGACTCCCTGGGTTGGGGCTTCAGCTCTTGGGGGAGGGCTTGCACCCAAGTGTCAAGGTACAGGCCTATAACCCTACCTACTCAGAAGGTGGAGGCAGGAGGTTCGCAAGTTTTAAAGGCAGCCAGAATGATTTGGTGAGACTAGCTCAAAATAAAGTTTAGGAAGAGCTGGAGGCTGCAAGCCATATGCGGGGCCCTGAAACATTTTCCACAATCTAAACTCTAAAGCAAGCCAGAGATCCTGGCTTCACACAAGCAGCTGTCCCCGGAGCCTGCCAATGTAGAAGGATAGAATAAGCCCAAGAGGGCCCAGCTAAAGTTGGAAAACTTGGGGGCAGCCAAGTCTTTCTAGACCAGTAGTTCTCAACCTTCCTAATGTTGCGACCCTTCAATATGGTTCCTCATGCTGTGCTGACCCCTAACCATAAAATTATTTTGTTGCTACTTCATAACTGTAATTTTGCTACTGTTAATAAATCGTAATATGACCCCAAAGGGCTGCGACTCGCAGGTTGAGACTTGTTCTAGACCACTGGTCTAGAGCGGCCCACAGTTCTAGGCTTGTTCTAGATCACTGTTCTAGAACGTTTCCCCTCAAAACCTACTGGGTCAAACACAAACACCCAAACCCACTCTGGGGGAAGCTGTGCTGGGGATGGGCAGCTGGGGACTTGTCTGACGTGCCTGAAACAAGACTCAGGGTGAAACAGATAGGAACTGACTCCTGGGTCTGCAAAACTTGAAAGGCCTGTGAGATGGTGGGTGAAGGTGGAGGGAAGAGGCCAGCTCCACAGGGTTACCCTCTGACCTCTATACATGTACTGTAGCATGCATGCATGCACGCATACACACACACAATCTGTCTCTCACACACACACATAAAAAATAACAATTTTTTTAAAAAAAATTGATGATTAGCTATTAAATAATTTATTCTGGGTTCTTAGGCACTTGGAATTGCTTGTTCCCTCCAAGTGTGCAGGGCTGGCAGGTCAGTGTGTATGTGTGTGTATATGTATATGTGTGTGTATATGTATGTGTGTATATGTATATATGTGTGTGTGTGTGTATATACACACACTTTTTTTTTTTTTTGGTTTTTTCGAGACAGGGTTTCTCTGTGGTTTTTGGAGCCTGTCCTGGAACTAGCTCTTGTAGACCAGGCTGGTCTCGAACTCACAGAGATCCGCCTGCCTCTGCCTCCCGAGTACTGGGATTAAAGGCGTGCGCCACCACCGCCCGGCTACACACACATATTTAAGGTGACGAATTGATGAAGTTTCTTCACCCTAAAGGTTCAGGTGAAATGACATAGTTTCTAGCTGGGAGTAGAATAAAGGGCGTCTGAGTGTTTGTCCCATGGAAAGACTGATTCCTGGGCCTTCCCAAGTTCTAACTTATCAGAGCTGCCAGCAAGTAGCTGCTGGAGGATACAAGATAGAAAAAAATGCATGTGGGACTATGGGGTAGCAAAAACACAGGATGATTTTTTTGTTTTGTTTTGTATTTAAGCACCACCCCACTTGGAGACCTTTGGGAAGTACCTTCCACTGATGGCTTTTTAAAACGTAAATCCACATTTGGAATCCCAAAGGAACCTTATTTTCTTGTTAGTGTGATTTCTCAGGGTAGTTTTTGCTTGTTTGTTTTGCCATTAATGCAGACCTCATAAAAAAAGGGAAAAGATGAAAAAGAAAAAAGAACACTGGATGCCTTTAACTTCTGCGGTATTTTGCTGCAGGGCTGCCATACGGGCGTCTTAGAGGCCTGAGACACTTGACCGGGTTTCAGGACTCAGAGATTCTAGAAGCACAAAAGCAGAAATGTCCCTTTCTCCTTGGCAAAGGGGGAGGGTCAGGGGCTCCACCCTCTCCCTCCTCCTGGCCCCCAGCTCTGGTCAGATGCTCCCACACTCAGTTAAAGATTACCACTTTAGCCAGGACAAGCCCCATAGCCAGACCCACCCCCCTCTTCCTCATTCTCTTGGCTAACCCCATGCAGCTTTGGGCCAGGTCAGGATAGAATTTCCGTGGCAACAGGCATCAAAAAAAGGCCACCGAGCACTCTACATTGTTCCCTGTGTCTTGTAGCAGGGCGCTGTGTAGCTAGGGTGTAAAGGATGCCCACAAGCCAGGCGGGGCAGTCTGTTGGTAATGGAGACTCTAGCTAAACCCTGCTTATTTTGCCTCGATGTGCACCTTCACGTTTAAGAAGGAAGTTGAAGGCAAGCAATGCCGACCTCGTGGGAACGACTGACCGCAGAAAATGACAATGTGCGTGCACGGCCTGCTCGCCACAGCTTGTACACCAAGCAGGACCGACTCACAAGCAGCACAAGGCTAGCACAGCAAGAAAAGGCCAGGAGAGGGCCCGGACTGAGCCTCGGCAGCGAAGGGTGGGGGAGTGGCAGAAAACAAAAGCGGGAAAAATAGAAGGACATTCCTCCAGCTGTCGAGTAAAGGTTCCAAAAATAGCTGACGTGGGCCTGCTAGGGAGGAGGAACCAGAGTGCGCGGGGATTGGAGCGAAGGGGAAATGGAGGCCTCTCCTCCTCGCCTTTGTCTGAGTCGGGACCGCGAGGTGACCCTCCCCTGCCTAGAGCAACAGCAGGCGGCTCCCGCCCCTCTGGGTCGCTCGTCCCCCTCCAAGGACGCAGGGCAGTCAGGATACCCCATTCTGGGTCTAGGCACCCCAGAAACGCTCCCCCGGAATACCTTGTTAGCCCCAACCCCGACGGGGCCCAGTGATCATGCCCCAAGCCACCAGCTGCCACTGTTTCCTACGCCCCAACCCCTGCAACAGCCTGGGCGCGCCAGGCGATGGAGCCTGGGACGAGGCCACCGCCCAGCCCTTCGCTACCCGCACACCGCCTTTCCCCGGCGGCCGGCGTGTCGCTAGTAGCTCTCCGGGGTCCCCCTCCAGGGACGTCGCCACGTCGCAGCGCTGCAAGAGCACCCGCCCCCCCTCCCCCCGTTGCGGCACTCACAGTGGCGCCGTGGCTGCTCCGGCCAGTTGGGGACAGTCAGGGCGGCCGGTGCCCAGGCCCGTGCCGAGCTTGGGGCTCTGCAGAGCGAGTGCACGGTTCGCAGGTAGCTGCCCATCCCGAACAAGCGAGGTCCGAGCGCGCAGCTGCACCAGGTTGTGCGGCGGGGACTCTGCTGGCCCGGGTGGCCAGGACCCAACCGGGGCGGAGCTGCGGAGCCCGCCGCCCCATTGGGTCTCACCCGGGAGAAGGCGGGTCCAGGGCCGGGGCAGGAGCCTGCCTGCCACCCTTGGGCCTGTTCCAAGGCCCGGGCCGCCCCAGCGCTGAGCCCGCGCTTTCTGGGCACCTCAGTCCCTCTCCGAAGCAGTAGGAGCCAGTGAGATCCATTCGGGTTGTGGAGGCTCAGGGCTGCATGACGCCCGGCTTCCAACAGGATGTCAGTGGCGGTCAGATCGCCTTAGTCCCCTGCGTCCTTCGTGTTTGACTGATTGACCCGACCGAGGCGCCTTCATCTAGCCGATTGACAAGTGTGGCGTTCTTGAGCCAAGATCACGGCATCTAGGATCTCCTCCTGGTATCGTTCAATTGGGTGGACTAACCTGGATCGAGAGTTAAAATTCCGAGTGCGGTAGAGGCAAGAGGATCCTTAGTTCTGTTCACGAGTTCAAGGCCAGCTTGGGCTAACCTGAGACCCTGTCACAAAAACAAAGCAAAGGGCAAAGGGTTGAAATCCGGCTTTTGTTCCTTACTAGACCAGACTTCTAGCCCCGAAGTCCATTAGCGTGGCCAGAATCTGTTTTCCCGGGGCCTAAGAGAGCTGCCAGGAGACTTGTGTGGCATTATGTGTGTAAAAGGTTTGAGGTGCAGGCACCCTTCATGGCACAACCCCTTCCCAAGTTAATTACGTTCTATGCCAGTAGTTAGGCGGTCCTGAAAAGAGAGCCCCTATCTCCTATAGCCTAAACAAAGGCCCAGCCACCACCTGACCCAACAGCTCCCATTTGCCTGTTTGCATGGAAAAAACAAACAAGAAATCTGGCAGAAACAACCTAAATCCATCACCACCCATTTTCTTGAGGCTCACTGAAGGCTGGGCTTTGTATCTCAAAATCTAACAGACGCACCCCAGCTTTCCTAATCACACCAAATAGAGCAGCCTTTCTGCCCTGTGCTCCCAGATCTCACCAGCATTGCCAGGTGGAGCTGGGCCAGGAAACTGACCTTGAACTGCTAACTTCAAAGCTTCCCTCCTGGAGTCTCAGTCTGGCAGCCTCAGCTCTAGGATCCAACAGAGAGAGTATATCCAAGGAGAGGCTGCTTTAGGTCATTCCAAAGCGTGAGGCCTCGGTCAAAGGAAGGCCTGGTTTGGGGCAACTTGTTCCAGAGTTTCTCTGTATAGTTTTGGAGCCTGTCCTGGAACTAGCTCTGTAGACCAGGCTGGCCTCGAACTCACAGAGATCTGCCTGCCTCTGCCTCCCAATTGATGGGATTAAAGGCAGGCACCACCGCCACCAGCCTACCTGAAAGCCTTTTTACTGGGTTCCCGATTCTCTGGCCTAAAATTCTGATAAAGACTATGGAGGTTGCTGGCTTTGGCTTCCAGGCCATCCTGGTAATATCAGGTCCCTGGATCTCGGGATCCACACCTCCAAGGTTGGAGAACAGACCAATCAGACGCAGTTATGGAGGTCAACACCCACACTGCCACTGCCAGAAGGGTGGCATTACTCTCCATCCTCACCAGGGGCTTCCTGCTTCCCCTACATAGAAGACAGGAATCTCAGAGGCTCCTGTGTATAGATGCAGTTATCACAGATCGAGGGACAAGAGGAGAATCCCAAGAGAAACTTCCTTCTTTCTTTCATTTTATTATTGTTATTTGTTGTTGCTTTTAAACAAGGTCCTCTGTAGTCCAGGCTGATCTCAGACTTTCTCTGTACTGGGAAATGACCTTGAACTCCTGATTCTCCTGCCTCCACTGAGGCAGGAGATTCTACTTCCGAGAGGAGTTTTGATGGCACAATGAGACAGCCAGCAAGAAGAAAGTCCCCTTTGCTGGAGGAGCTTCCCTGAGGAACGTGTATGTGGCTGGAATATCCACCAAGAATGTGAGGCATCCAGACCACAGGCTGACAGAGGGGGTGTCTCACGCTTCATCCGGCCTCCACTGCAAGCATGTGTTTCGTGGTATGCTTGTAAGCAGAGTATAGGCTCCCAAAACAGAGATAAAGATATGCTGAGAGCAGGGCTCACACCTGGGAAGAAGCCTGACATGGGTCCTGGAAGACTTCCCAAAAGGACAGGATGGTACGGGTTAGTGCAGTAGCTGCCTGAACACAGGCCTGGCAGCAGAGGAGTCGGAGTGAGTCAGGCCTCCCCCTAGAAGGCTGAAGAATGGCAGTGCCATTATTAGAAAGTGGAAAACAGAAGGCGAATGTTGATGGCTAAGCGAGCTATTTATGGTGATCTCCCCAGTCTGTCCTGTGCCTGTTTCCAGCACCTTCTCCCTGAAGCCTAGCTCCAGCAGTCAGTCCGCAGCTCAGGTTCCTGCAGAAGCTCTCCCATGAACCGGTACAACAGCTGGATAGCTCTGTGGTCTGTGCCCGTGCTGACTCTTACCAAGTCAAAGAACTGCTTTCCCCTCCCACAGCCCAATGCAACTTCTGCTCGGTGGATGCTTTGGCCTGTATCCTTGTGTCCCCACAATTCAGATGCAGCACAATTATTCCCATGGTGATGTCTTTGGGACATAATCACATCATGAGGACCACTTGTCATGAATGGGATTAGTGAGCTCGTAAGAAGTCTCATGAGGGGGCTGGAGAGATGGCTCAGTGGTTAAGAGCACTGGCTGCTCTTCCAGAGGTCCTGAGTTCAATTCCCAGCAACCACATGGTGGCTCACAACCATCTGTAATGAGATCTGTCGCTCTCTTCTGACATGTGGGCATACATGGAGGCAGAATGTTGTATACATAATAAATGAATAAATAAACAAAAAAAAGAAGTCTCATGAGGCAGTTGACCTCTCTAGTATAAGGTCATAGATTGAAGACGACCTCACCAGGGAGCAAATACACTAGCACCTGGATCTTTTGCCATATATTAAAAGATTTATTTTTCAGTGTGTGCATGTATACATGCGTGCATTTGCGTGTGTGTGTGTGTGTGTGTGTGCTTTCCCTGTATGTAGGTGTACTACCTGAGTAGGCTGGAGCAATCATCAAATCCCCTAGAACTAGAGTTGCAGATGGTTATGAGCTGCCATGTGTGGGTTCTGGGAACCAAAGCCCCATCCTCTGCAAGAGCAGCAAGTACTCTTAACTGTTAGGCCAATTATTATTACTGCTGTTTTAAGATAGGGTTGCTGGTCCCAGGCTGGCCTATCCTCAGCCTGGCTTTGTAACTGAAGATGACCTTGAACTCCTGATCTTCCTTCCTGCTTCCACTGCTGGGATGTTAGTGTATCACCACGCTCCTTTATGTAGCTCTGGGGAATCAAACCCAGAACCTCGAGCATGCTTGGCAAGCACTCTGTCAACTGAGCTATACTCCCAGTGTCTGGTTCTAACTTTGTAAAATGGACAATAATGGGGTGAAATAGCTGTTTGGGTGTTTTTTAGAGATAAGGCCTCAAATTTCTGATCTTCCTGCTTCCACACAGTTCTGGGAGATACTATTGAATTTCATGAATGTCCTGTGGCTTAAATTAATCCTAAACATTCCTAAATCCAGCGAGCAAGAGTCAAAGAGAAGCTGGGCGGTGGTGGCGCATGCCTTTAATCCCAGCACTCGGGAGGCAGAGGCAGGCAGATCTCTGTGAGTTCGAGACCAGCCTGGTCTACAGAGCTAGTTCCAGGACAGGCTCCAAAGCCACAGAGAAACCCTGTCTCGAAAAACAAAAACAAACAAACAAACAAAAAACAAAAAAAAATCAGGAAGTGAGCCAGTCATGGTGGAATACCCATTTTAATCCCAGCATTCAGAAGGCAGAAGCAGGCAGAGCACTATGAGGTTTTTGTTTTTGTTTTTTTTTTTTAAGATTTATTTATTTACTGTTTATATAGCATGCCTACAGGTCAAAAGGGAGCACCAGATCTCATTACAGATGGTTTTGTTAGGAATTGAACTCAGGACCTTTAGAAAAGTAGGCAGTGCTCTTAACTGCTGAGCCATCTCTCCAGCCTGATCACTATGAGTTTGAGGCCAGCATGCTCTACAGGAGGACAGGGCTATGTAGAGAGACCCTGTCTCAAAGAAAGAAAAAAGAAAAGAAGGAAGGAAGGAAGGAAGGAAGAAAGAAAGAGGAAAAGAAAAAAAGCAAAAAGTAAAAAAATCTGGAATTGGAAGTGTTTCCTTCTAACCCCAGTGCCGATGAGAAAACAATAAGAAAGGGATCCCTGGGTCCTGCTGGCCAGTTAGTCTAGCAGAATCAGGTTAAACACACACACACACAGGCACTCCAGCATGTACACAAACACACACACACGAGCATGTATACACATGTACACCGTCACACATGTACACAGAGAACTAGTTTGAAGCCTCCATATGGTAGCGCTTTCTAGCCTGGATGAAGCCCTGATTGGGGTCAATCCCCAGCAAAGGAAAAAGAAAAAAAAATCCTCATGGATACTGTTTCAAACTCCACAAGGCAACCAGAAAAGCTATCACTCGTATACTTTGTTACTAAAGGGAAAAAAGAGAGTACTAGGACTGGAGGAAGGGCTCAGTGGTTAAGAGCGCTTGCTGATCCTATGGAGGAGGAGTTCCGCTCCCAGCACCTCTGTCAGGAGCCTCACAAACACCTGTAACTCCAGCTCCAAGAGATGCAATGTCTCTTTGGCCTCTAAGGGCGCCTGCAGTCGCATGTGAAAACCCACACATATATACACAAAATTTTAAATAATATAAATAGAACGGAAAAAAGCAAAGGCTAGCCTACTGGCTGGAGAGATGGCTCAGTGGTTAAGAGCACTTCTCGCTCTAGCAAAGGATCCACATTCAATTCCCAGCAGTCATCTGGTGGCTCACAACACCCATAATTCCAGTTCCAGGGACTCTGATGCCCTCTTCTGATTTCTTTTTTTTTTCCTCTTCTTTGTTTATTTAATTGGTTTGGTTTTATTTATTTATTTGAGACAGGGTTTCACTGTAGCTTTGGAGCCTGTCCTGGAA